AATTCATACAATAGTCCCCTAAGCCTTCATGTGAAGTTTCATGGCAAGACGAAGCGTTTTTTATTTTTCACGATTTTTGAAACTTTTTACGGTTCGAGATTTTTTAAAATTTTTTTAGAAGGAGTTTTGACCCCAAATTTGGTAGAGGTGATCCCTGTATTTTTTTTGGATGCTAAAAAAAATCCAGCTAAAAACTCGAAGTGGAGAAGATTTTGTGATCATTTGAAAAAAGTGTCCCCATTTCAAACACTTTAATGGCTACTGGCGGCAAACCTATAAAATCTCAAATGCTCTTTAAGGGGGTGTGAGTTCTTGAGGTTTGATGAGGGATAGGGGGCCAATATAAGGGCCAAGTACCAGCACCCATCACACATCATGTGCGCAAACCCCTCAGCCCCCTCAATTACCGGAACCCCCAATGCCGCCGGTTAGGTTCTCCAACGATGCTCCGATAATGCTCCAACGATGGTGCCTCGGGTGAAAAAAATGTGGCACCAGCACATGCCCAAGCCCAGCATGTGCACCGTGGCTCAAAATCAAACTTTGGCCAAGGCCTCGCCCATCAATGGCACATGATGGCGCATGTTGATGGCACATGCATCGACCATCATCGGCACAGGCTGCCCTTTGGTACGGGCAATTACCTCGACCGCCATCGAAACAAGTTGGGCCCTGGTGTGGGCGATTGCCTCGATCACCATTGGCATATGTCGGCCCTTGGTGCGGGTGATTGCCTCGACCACCATCGATAAAAGATGGCCCCTGGTGCAGGCGGATGCATCGAACACCATCGGTACATGTTGGGCCGTGGTACGGGGGGTTGCCTTAACCACCATCGGCACTAGCTGGCCCTTGGTGTGGGTGGTTACGTCAAACACCATCGGCATAAGAAGGCCCCTGGTACGGGTGGTTGCCTCAACCACCATCGATACATGCTGAGCCTTGGTACGTGTGGTTGCCTCGAACATCATCGGCACCAACCGACCCTTGGTGCGGGTGGTTGCCTTGACCACCATCAACACAAGATGGCCCCTGGTGTGGGCGGTTGCATCAAACACCATCGACACATGTCGGGCCTTGGTGCAGATGGTTACCTCGACCACCATCGGTAGAAGATGGCCCTTGGGGCGGGCGGTTGCCTCGAACACCATCGGCACATGCCAAGCCTTGGTGCAAGCGGTTGCCTCAAGCACCATTGACACTAGCTAGCCCTTGGTGCGAGCGGTTGCCTCGACCACCATCGGCACAAGATGGCCCCTGGTGCGGGCGCTTGCCTCGACCACCATCGGCACACGCTGGCCTTGGTGCGGGCGGTTGCCTCGACCACCATCGGCACACGCTGGCCTTGGTGGGCGGTTGCCTCGACCACCATCGGCACACGCTGGGCCTTGGTGCGGGCGGTTGCCTCGACCACCATCGGCACACGCTGGGCCTTGGTACGGGCGGTTGCCTCGACCACCATCGATAGAAGATGGCTCCTGGTGTGGGCGGTTGCCTTGACCACCATCGGCACAAGCTGGCCCTTGGTGCGGGCTCTTGCCTTGACCACCATCAGTGGAAAATGGCCCTGGTGCGGGCGGTTGCCTCGACCACCATTGGCACAAGTCGACCCTTGGTGCGGGTGGTTGCCTCGACCACCATCAGCACAAGTTAGCCCCTGGTGCGGGCGGTTGCATCGAACACCATCGACACATGCCGGGCCTTGGTGTTGGCACATGCCGGGCCTTGGTGTTGGCACATGCCTCAATCTGGTGTGGGCGATAGCCTTGACCACCATTGGCACGTGCTGGCCCTTGGTGCGGGCACATGCCCCAACCACCATCGGCACCTACTCACCCTCGGTGCAGGACATGCCTGTTTGGAAAAAGTATCCCTGTTTCAAACACTTTAATGTCTACTGGTAGCATATCTATAAAATCTCTAATGCTCTTTAGAGGGTGATGGTCCGACACCCCCTTTCCCCCCCACAGGGGGAGTAGGTGTGCGTGATGGGCCTTCCATTGCATACACCCAGGGCAATGTCCCTCGAGCAAAATACAGGGCGTGCATGCCTTTCGACCATTTTGTTCGGTGACTGGTTGCTCCAATGATCGGTAGCTGCCCATAGCCTCGACTGGTTGGCGTGCATGTGAAAAAGAGGAGCTGAGCTCGAGCTCGTGCATACGACAGATGCTGCCCTAGACCCTAGACCAAGTCCCTGAATCAGCCAATGGCTCCCTGGGGTGCTACAAGTAGAAGCACGGTTGCAGGCTTGGCCTGGCCAGGTCTCTCGATATTTGACGGTCTTGCGGTCCCTTCTCGTCAACCATAAAAATGCCTAGGCCTTGATGAGGCCATGCACACAGTCGATGCTACCCGAGACCCTAGGCACAAGTCCCTGAATCGGGCAACGTCCCCGTGGGGTGGTGTCAGAGGAGCTCGCACGTGTGGTCCCGGTCGAGCCAAGTATTGGTGGTGTCACTTTGTTGTTACCTGTCGGATGGCAAGGGCAGTCTCGTGGCCCTTGCTCGTGTTTTTCTCGTGCCAAGCAGTTGTGGCATGGCCTCGCACGTCATTTCCTCTGCTCGCTCATTGAGTAACCGATCGGGTGGGTTGTGGATCGACGCACATGGATGCTACCACTTGTATGCAATGGGCATATAAGTGGTGCTATGGTTGTGCGTCTTGGCAGGCTCCATGATCGATGCATCGAACTGTCGACCCGTCATCCTCTTCAATCTTCCCCCATACGGTCGTCGTACCCAGGGGGCACGATCGGGATACTATGTTGCATACCTGAATCGATGGAAACCAGATGTCTCGCCATCCCTCATCCGTCTCATGTCCCGAGGGGCCACGGGTCGGACGTCAATCATGGCCGGTGTCCTAAGCGTGCCACCCAATACTCTGTGGCCGCATTGGTGCAACGACGTTCAATCGTGCTCTCGGATGCGAAATGTTTAGCGGCACGGGCTCTTATCCCCCGTTCATCCGATGCTATGCATTTTACGTGCTCGACACGCACGACGCTTGCGCTCCGTGTTGGGCTCTCTCCGCCGCTCAGTCGGTGCATCAAGGCCCACGCGGTGCCAACATCCCGAATAAATGCTACCTGGTTGATCCTACCAGTAGCCATATGCTTGTCTCAAAGATTAAGCCATGCATTTGTAAGTATGAACTAATTTAGACTGTGAAATTGTGAATGGCTCATTAAATCAGTTATAGTTTGTTTGATGGTATCTACTACTCGAATAATCGTAGTAATTTTAGAGCTAATACGTGCAACAAACCCCAACTTTTGGAAGGGATGCATTTATTAGATAAAAGGTCGGCGCGAGCTATGCTCGTTGCTCTGATGATTCATGATAACTCGACGGATCACACGGCTTTTGTGCCAGCGACGCATCATTCAAATTTCTACCCTATCAACTTTCGATGGTAGGATAGTGGCCTACTATGGTGGTGATGGGTGACGGAGAATTAGGGTTCGATTTCAGAGAGGGAGCCTGAGAAATGGCTACCACATCCAGGGAAGGCAACAGGTGCGCAAATTACCCAATCCTGACACGGGGAGGTAGTGACAATAAATAACAATATCTGGCTCTATGAGTCTGGTAATTGGAATGAGTACAATCTAAATCCCTTAACGAGGATCCATTGAAGGGCAAGTCTAGTGCCAGTAGCCGCGGTAATTCCAGCTCCAATAGCGTATATTTAAGTTGTTGCAGTTAAAAAGCTCATAGTTGGAACTAGGGTTAGGTCGTCCGATCTACCTCACGGTGAGCACAGGTCTACTCGTCCCTACTACCGTCGATGTGCTCCTGGACTTAATTGCCCGGGTCGTTCCTCCGACGTTGTTACTTTGAAAAAATTAGAGCGCTCAAAGTAGGCCTACGCTTGTATACATTAGCATGGGATAACATCATAGGATTTCGGTCCTATTGTGTTGGCCTTCGGGATCAGAGTAATGATTAACAGGGACAGTCGAGGGCATTCGTATTTCATAGTCAGAGGTGAAATTCTTGGATTTATGAAAGATGAACAACTGCGAAAGCATTTACGAAGGATGTTTTCATTAATCAAGAATGAAAGTTAGGGGCTCGAAGATGATTCCGTCCTAGTCTCAACCATAAACGATACCGACCAGGGATCGACGGATGTTACTTTTAGGACTCCGTCGGCACCTTATGAGAAATCAAAGTCTTTGGGTTTCGGGGGGAGTATGGTCGCAAGGCTGAAACTTAAAGGAATTGACGGAAGGGCACCACCAGGTGTGGAGCCTGCGACTTAATTTGACTCAACACGGGGAAACTTACCAGGTCTAGACATAATAAGGATTAAGAGACTGAGAGCTTTTTCTTGATTCTATGGGTGGTGGTGCATTGCCGTTCTTAGTTGGTGGAGCGATTTGTCTGGTTAATTCCATTAACGAACGAGACCTCAGCCTGCTAACTAGCTACGCGGAGGTGATCCTTCGTGGCTAGCTTCTTAGAGGGACTATGGCCACTTAGGCTAAGGAAGTTTGAGGCAATAACAGGTCTGTGTTGCCCTTAGATGTTCTGGGCCGCACGCGCACTACACTGACATATTCAACGAGTCTATAGCCTTGGCCGACAGGCCCGCGTAATCTTTGAAATTTCATCGTGATGGGGATAGATCATTGCAATTGTTGGTCTTCAACGAGGAATTCCTAGCAAGTACGAGTCATCAGCTCATGTTGACTATGTCCCTGCCCTTTGTACACACCATCTGTCGCTTCTACTGATTAAATGGTCTAGTGAAGTGTTTGGATCACGGCGACATGGACGGTCCGCCACCCGTGACGTCACGAGAAGTCCACTGAACCTTATCATTTAGAGGAAGGAAAAGTCGTAACAAGGTTTTCGTAGGTGAACCTGTGGAAGGATCATTGTTGAAACCCCGCTTGACGGATGACCCACGGACTCATTAACGAAACACTGAGGGGGGAGGGTGCCCCCGTGCCCCAAGCCCCCTCCAACCCCGGGAGGGCGTGACGGTCTCTCTATCCCCCCTACGGGGTGGGTGGAACGATCATCGTCATCTCGCCCGCCACCGAACAATGAACCCCCAACGCAAATAGCACCAATGAATAGAAACGAAAATGAAGTGCGCGCGCTATCGCCATCCTATCCGCAGTGCATGCGCAGGCAGCCCCGCGACTCCTTTTGTCATGAAAAAATGAAATGACTCTCAGCAACGAATATTTCGGCTCTTCATCGATGAAGAACGTAGCGAAATGCGATACTTGGTGTGGATTGGAAAATCCCGTGAACCATCGAGTCTTTGAACGTAAGTTGCACCCCAAGCCATTAGGCCAAGGGCACTCCTGCCTGGGTGTCAGACACCGTGGCCCCCCCTCCGACCCCTCACCCCTCGGGCTCTGGGGGAAGGAGGTAGGCGGAAGATGGCCTCCCGCGATCCCATGGGTCACAGTTGGCCCAAAAGTGAGTCCCCGACAACGACAGTGTCATGACCGTCGGTGGTAGAGCTCCCTGCATGCCTCGTCCCCAGTGACGCGTGCTCGTTGTCCACCCGAACCCCTTCAGAACCCCCGTATTGCTCGATTGATGCTTGCGTCAGGACCCCAAGTCAAGCGAGATCACCCGCTGAGTTTAAGCATATCAATAAGAGGAGGAAAAGAAACTTACCAGGATTCTCTTAGTAACGACGAACAAACCGAGAAGAGCCCAGCTTGAGAATTGGGCGCTCGCGTCGAGTTCTATCAAGTAAAGCCAATGATTAGAGGCATCGGGGGTGCAACGCCCTCGACCTATTCTCAAACTTTAAATAGGTAGGACGATGCAACTGTTTCCTTGAGCCACGCCACTAAATTGAGAGCTCCAAGAGGGCCATTTTTGGTAAGTAGAAATGGCGATGTGGGATAAACCGATAGCTAGGTTACAGTGCCTAACTACGCGCTAACCCAGAACCCACAAAGGGTGTTGGTCGATTAAGATAGTAGGACGGTGGTCATGGAAGTCGAAATCTGCTAAGGAGGGCACGGCAGTCACCGCAAAACCTGAGGTGCGAGCCCGAATGAAGCGACCGTCGGTGCAGATCTTGGTGGTAGTAGCAAATATTCATATGAGAACTTTAAAGGTCGAAGAGGGGAAAGGTTCCATGTGAACGGCACTTGCACATGGGTTAGTCGATCCTAAGAGACGGGGGAAGCCTATCCGATAGCACATGCCACGTGAGCTTCGAAGGGAATCGGGTTAAAATTCCTGAACCGGGATGCGATGGCTGATGGTAACGTTAGGGAGTCCTGAGACATCGACGGAGGCCTCGGAAAGAGTTTTCTTTTCTGTTTAACGGCCCACCCACCCTAGAAACGGCTCAGCCAAAGGTAGGGTCCAGCGGTCGGAATAGCATCGCACATCGCGTGGTGTCTGGTACGCCCCTGACGGCCCTTGAAAATCTGAAAGACCAAGTGCCGTCCGCGCCCGATCGTACTCATAATCGCATCAGGTCTCCAAGGCGAATAGCCTCTGGTCGATGGAACAATGTAGGCAAGAGAAGTCAGTAAAATGGATCCGTAACCTCAAGATTGGCTCTGAGGGTTGGGCACGGGGTCCCACTCTTGAACCCATCGACTGTCGGTGCACTGCTCGAGATGCTCTCGTGGTGAGAGTGGATCACCGCGTGCCGACCAGGGGACGGACTGGGAACAGCTCCCTCAGGGGCCTTCCCCAAGCGATGAATAGTCGACTCAAAACTGGTACAGAAAAGGGGAATCCGACTGTTTAATTAAAACAAAGCATTGTGATGGTCCTTCCGGATGCTCACGTAATGTGATTTCTGCCCAGTGCTTTGAATGTCAAAGTGAAGAAATTCAACCAAGTGCGGGTAAATGGCGGGAGTAACTATGACTCTCTTAAGGTAGCCAAATGCCTCGTCATCTAATTAGTGATGCGCATGAATGGATTAATGAGATTCCCACTGTCCCTGTCTACTATCCAGCGAAACCACAGCTAAAGGAACGTGCTTGGCGGAATCAGCGGGGAAAGAAGACCCTGTTGAGCTTGACTCTAGTCCGACTTTGTGAAATCACTTGAGAGGTGTAGGATAAGTGGGAGCCCCCGGGTGAAATTGAAATACCACTACTTTTAACGTTATTTTACTTATTTTGTGAATCAGAGGCGGGGCACGACCCCTTCTTTTGGACCCAAGGTCGGCCTCGTCCAGTCGATCCGGGCGAAAGACATTATCAGGTGGGGAGTTTGGCTGGGGTGACACATCTGTTAAAAGATAATGCAGGTATCCTAAGATGAGCTCAATGAAAATAGAAATCTCGTGTGGAACAAAAGGGTAAAAGCTCGTTTGATTCTGATTTTCAGTACGAATACGAATCGAGAAAGCATGGCCTATTGATCTTTTAGACCTTCGAGATTTGAAGCTATAGGTGTCAAAAAAGTTACCACAGGGATAACTAGCTTGTGGCAGCCAAGCGTTCATAGCGACGTTGCTTTTTGATCCTTCGATGTTGTCTCTTCCTATCATTGTGAAGCAGAATTCACCAAGTGTTGGATTGTTCACCCACCAATAGGGAACGTGAGCTGGGTTTAGACCGTCGTGAGACAGGTTAGTTTTACCCTACTAATGGTGGCGTTGCGATAGTAATTCAACCTAGTACGAGAGGAACCGTTGATTTGCACAATTGGTCATTACGCTTGGTTGAAAAGCCAGTGGCACGAAGCTACCGTGCGTTGGATTATGACTGAACTCCTCTAAGTCAGAATCTGGGCTAAAAGCGACGCGCGCGCCTGTCGCCCGATTGTCGACTCGTAGTAGGGGCCCATGGCCCCCAAGGGCACGTGTTGTAGGTGTAGCCCCCACGGCGAATGAGCCACGCGGGCCTCCTTGGAGCTCAATTCCCACCGAGCGGCGGGTAGAATCCTTTGCAGATGACTTAAATACGTGACGGGGTATTGTAAGTGGCAAAGTGGCCTTGCTGCCACGATCCACTGAGATTCAGCCCTTTGTCGCTTCGATTCGTCCCTGCCCCCGTCGACCTTCCTTCTTTTCATGCCCCCCTCTGGGGTTAGGCGTGACCCGAGGCCCCCCATCCTCTGGTCCCGATCGGGAACAAACTTCGCTCGCCTCGATCGAACCTCGAAACGAGTGTGCGGGCACTGAACCGACTGCTGGGGTTGGGATGCACGAGCCGATCGAGGATCTCGCTACTGGTCCCCCTTAGTTGTTGCCCCAAACGCCGTTGATAGCCTCTGGCCCTTGGTTGGTCGAGACCGAGACTACACTACGTATGCCTAAGTCAACCCATGAAATGAGCGTACGGGCGTTCAGCCGATCAGAGCGCCAGAATGCGCAAGCTGAGGATCGACCTAGTCCCCTTCTGCGTGCTACCGATCCTGCTACGAGTCCCTCAGTCAGATTGGGGCTTAGACTGGGAATGAACTCCGCATGCCTAAGTCAACCCACGAAACGAGCGTGCGGCGCTCAGCCGATCGAAGAGCCAGGATGTGTAAGTCGACGATCGGCCCAGTCCCCTTTTGCATGCTGTTGTCGATCTCGCTACCGGTCTGATCTTAGACTGGGAATGAACTCCGTATGCTTAGACTGGGAATGAACTCTGTATGCTTAGACTGGGAATGAACTCCGTATGCCTAAGTCAACCCATGAAACAAGCGTGCGAGCGCTGAACCGACCAAAGAGGCATAATGCACAAGCCAGGGATCAACCCGGTCCCCTTCTGCGTGTTGTCGATCCCGCTACCGGTCCTGCTGCCTCAACCCTTGGTACGGCTGGGGCTTAGACATGGAATGAACTCCGTATGCCTAAGCCAACCCATGAAACAAGTGTGCGGGCGCTCAGTCGGCCGAGAGGCAGAATGCACAACCCGAGGATCGGCCTGATCCCCCCTTGTGTCACGTCTTGGACGGGCGCGCCAGGTACATCAAGCACACCAGTAGGCGAGCCAGAGGTTGAGGCCCGCAGACCAAGCGTGCTGGCGGGTATCTACGCATAAAGCCTAGGAAACAAGTTCAGAATACCCGCCCAGCTTGCAGGCCAGCTCGTGAGACCAAGGCCTGGCATACAAGCTGCCCGTACCACATCCAAAGGGCCCAAGGTGCTAGATCACAAGTGAAGCTTCTAGAAGCAGGCAGGATTAGCAGGAGCATCCTGGCAGATTTGGTTGACCCTAAAAATTAAGAGTTAGCATCTTGATTGATTGTAATCTGCATAATCCCATGATTTTAGCCTTTATTCTAGGGATATTGCCATTAAGTGTAAGCTGGAGCCTCAACTATAAATAGGGGGTTGCTCCACCCTCATTTGTACACTATCAAACACTTCTGTTTCAGTGAATATAAGAGCATTTCTAAAATTCTGCCTTCTTATCCTGTTTCTCTTTAACTTGCGTAATCAGCCCTTCCCGTTGTTCTAGTGCCCGCACACTTGTGTTTTAGGCTGACTTAGGCATAAAGGAAGAGATTCCAAGCCTAAGGCCGCACGATTTCTGAGTCTAAGGTTGGAGCCCGTGACAGTTGGTATCAGAGCAAGTTCGGCTTTACGTGTTTGTGTTGTGCAGGTTAGATCATGATTGAGGAGATGGCATCCCAAAGTGATGCTGCTAACCAACCCAGTTCTAGAGATATCTGGACTACCATGGACGGTAGACTGGCCAAGGTGGAGGTGACCATGGGTGACATGGGGGAGAAGCTTGAAGGGGTAGAGACTCACATTGCATCGCTAGACTCCATGGGGGAGGATATCCAAAGTGAGCTGCAGGCTGCTCTCAACAAAGGCTTGGACGTGTTCACCCAAAAGAATTAGACCCTGAAGGCTGAAGTGCTGACCTTACGTGATGGCATGGAGGCCATCCACCAGCGGATGGAGGAACTTACCAGTGAGCTCGTTGCTTGCAAGACTGCCATTGGGAATGGCATGTTTGCCGGAGTGTCCAAATCTAGATTGGAGGTCCCTAAGCCTAAGGAGTTCAAAGGGACTAGGGTGGCCAAGGAAGTAGACAACTACCTTTGGGGTATGGAGCAGTACTTCCAGGCTATGGGCATGCAAGACGAGGCGATAAAAGTAAGCACCGCTGCTATGTATCTCACTAATGTAGCCTTATTGTGGTGGAGGCACATGTGTGATGATGCTAGGCATGAGAGTGCCAAGATTAGAACTTGGGGAGAGTTCCAAAAAGAGTTTAGAGAGCAATTTTACCCAAAGTATGCCAATGATGAGGCACGGGCAAAGTTATGCCGACTTAGCCAGCAAGGGAACATAAGGGAGTATGTCCAAAAATTCTCTGAATTGATGCTATAGATCTCGGATCTAGACGGGAAGGATGCCTTATTTGCTTTCATGGATGGGCTGAAGTCGTGGGTAAGGCATGAGCTACAACGAAAGGGAGTTCATGACTTGGCAAAAGCCATGACTACTATTGAGGCCTTGATAAAGTTCAAGCCTCTGAACAAGTTTGAGTTTTCCAAGCCCAAGGGTAAGGGCAAGGACGATAGGGACCAGAAGAAATAGTCCAAGGGGAAGGAACGTGATCGAAAGTCCAAGGATGGAGATCAAGACCGTTCAACCAAGGGTGGCGAGAGGAAGCCACCAGCAGGCAAGTGGAAAGCAAAGGGGGACCGAGAGCCACTAGCATGCTACCTATGTGGAGGGAGCAACATAGCACGTAAATGCCTGCAAAAGGCCAAGCTGGCTGCTGTAGACAAGGAGTCTGACAAGGAACCAGAGTTAGGGGCAGCAAAGCTTGGGTCATTGGTGCTTAATGCTATCCAGAGTAAGGGGAGCCGCAAGCCAAAGGGCTTGATGTTTGTGGATTTGAAGGTTCCGGGTCAGAAGGTGAGCGCACTGGTGGACACAGGTGCCTCACATCTTTTTATTTTAGGTGATGGAGCCCGGAAGCTCAGACTGAAGGTGCAGAAAGGGATTGGTACCATTAAAATGATGAACTCCAAGGAAGTTCCAACCATTGGAGTAGTACGGGGAGTGGAGTTGCAACTTGGAGATTGGAAAGGCAAAGAGACCATAGAGGTAATACCCCTTGATGACTATGAGTTTGTGATTGGGTTGGATTTCCTTGTTTGGATTAACACCCTCCTTGTGCCTTTTACCGATTATGTTTGCATCTTGGATGCATGGTGCCAATGCCTAGTTCCATTGAGGAGAGGGTCCAGAGTTGGGTGACGGGTGGTGTCAGCCATCCAATTTGCCAAGGCGGTAAGCAGACAAGAAGACACCTTCTTGGCAGCCCTGAAATATGATGAGCCAAGGGAAAAAGAGATCGAGTCACCCTTGGAGGTGCTAAAGGTGTTGAAGACCTTTAGTGATGTGATGCCCGCAAAGCTGCCTAGCAAGCTACCACCTAAAAGGGAGGTGAACCACAAGATCGAGCTGGTGTCTGAGGCCAAGCCATCAGGTAGAGCCCCTTACCGAATGTCTTCACCAGAGTTGGAGAAGTTGAGGAAATAGCTCAAAGAGTTAGTTGATGCTGGCTTCATCAAGCCATTGAAGGCACCATATGGTGCACCAGTTCTATTCCAGCGCAAACATGATGGATCGCTGTGGCTGTCCATAGACTACCGGGCTTTAAACAAGCTGACCATCAAGAACAAGTACCCCATCGCACTCATTGTGGACTTGTTCGATCAACTTGGAAGCGCAAGGTGGTTCACCAAGTTAGATTTGAGGTCGGGCTACTATCAAGCAGGATAGCAGAGGGAGATGAGCCAAAGACAGCATGTGTCACTTGGTATGGTTCGTATGAGTTCTTGGTGATGCCTTTCGCACTCACAAACGCCCCAACAACATTCTGCACCTTTATGAACAAGGTACTTTAGTCATTCCTTGATCGATTTGTTATGGTTTATTTGGATGACATTGTGATCTACAGCCAGACTTTGGGAGAGCATGTAGACCACTTGAGACAGCTTTGAACACCATCGGCACATGCTGGCCCATGGTGCAGACGGTTGCCTCGAAAACCATCGAGACGTGATGGGCCTTGGTGCGGGTGGTTACCTCGAACACCATCGGCACATGCTGGCCCTTGGTATGGGCGGTTGCCTCGAATACCATCGGCACGCGCTGGGCCTTGGTGCGGGCGGTTGCCTCGAACACCATCGGCACGTGCTGGGCCTTGGTGCAGGCGGTTACCTCGACCACCATTGGTAGAAGATGGCCCCTGGTGCGGGCGGTTGCCTCGAGCACCATCGGCACAAGCCAGCCCTTGGTGCTGGCTCTTGCCTCGATCACCATCGACAGAAGATGGCCCCTGGTGTGGGCGGTTGCCTCGAACACCATCGGCACATGTCGGGCCTTGGTGTTGGCACATGCCTCGATCTGGTGTGGGCAGTTGCCTCGACCACCATCGACACACGTTGGCCCTTGGTGCGGGCACATGCCCCAACCACCATCGGCACCTGCTCACCCTCGATGCGGGATATGCCTGTTTGGAAAAAGTGTCCCCATTTCAGACACTTTAACATATACTGGTAGCATATTTGTAAAATCTCTAA